ACCCCAGCTGTCCTGGAGCTCACAATGTAGACTAGGCTGGCCTTGAACTTTCAGAGATCCAGCTGCCTCTGACTCCCACCACCATGCTAGGTGTCTGGATGGTTTTCAATCACACTCAAGTGTCCTTTTTATTACAGGCTTAACCCTCTGTTGATTCTATTAATGATACACTCATTTCTATTCTTCCCAAAATCCCTACTCCTTATATCCACGGTTGGCCCAGAGCCCTCATCTCCACGGTCAGCCCTGCTCCCTTGTGGCCACAAAGAAGGACAGACCACTTTATTTTGATCTTTGATGAATGTTAGACAAAATATTATTTTGAAATAATGAAATATACCAAATAGAAATACAGATATGGAATTCATGAGTAAAAAAGAATATGGAGTGGTAAAATCCAGGTAAATTAATCTGAAATCTTTTTTCCTATTTTAAACATGTAATAGCAAAATGAGACATTAGAGATGGCTCAGAGGTTAAGAGCTCCGACTGCTCTTCCAGAGGTCCTGAGTTCAATTCCCAGCAACCACATGGTGGCTCATAACCATCTATAATGAGATCTGGTGCCCTCTTGTGGTGTGCAGATATACGTGGAAGCAGAATGTTGTATACATAATAAATAAATTTTTAAAAGAACATTTAAATTTATTTAAAAAATTAGATATGATAATATATAGGCAAATTTCCTACACTAACTGAACTATAGGGAAAAATGTGAACTTTAAAAACTAATGTAAAGCATTTATAATTTATCAGTAGAGATTTACAGCAACAAAATTAATTTCTGTGTTCAAATTTACCACAGCAGTTTCTCATGAAGTATTACACTATTTTTCTCTTATTCATTCATTTTGTGTGTCTGAGTGTTTCACCTGTGTGTGTGCATGTGTATGCTGTGCATTCACCCTAGATTGAAACATGCCATCCCACAGGGAAGCTGTTTAATAGCAGGGAGGTAAGCAACTGGAACTAGATTCAGGAAGTCCCTGAAACTGAGCACATTCACTAGGCCCCTCCCTGCCAGAGTAAGCAATAAAAGCTGAGAGTCCCTCTCTGACTAGAGGAGACAACACATGCTGCAAAGAGGACTCTGAGACCAGACCAGCTGCCTGGAAAAGGTTCAGACCAACATGGAAAGGAAGCCTGCAGGCTGTGCAGTGTGTTCCAGGTCCCCAGCTTCGTGAGCTGTCGCCCACGCTGGGGTGGGCTTTGGCGATACAACTGTCTTCAGGTCATTTCTGCCCCTGTACATAACTCCAATAAAACTCACTGGTTCACCAAGCTGGACTCTGGTGGTATCCACACTTTGGTCTGTCATGGGCTTCCCATCTGGGGTAGTAGATGCATGTGTTGTGCCTCCCCAGCAAAATTTTTGACATACAACAGTGCACTGCACACATGCCTGTATCCAAGGTCAGAAGAGTGTCCAATTCCCAGTCAGCTGTCAGCCATCTAAACTGCACAGTGAGTCTAAGGTCACCCTAGACTACACGAGAACCTATCTGCAATGATAACACCATGATGATGATGACGATACTGCAGTGGGATTCTGAATCCAAAAAGCTTGAAAAACACTTCAACACAGAAAAATCAAAGCCAAAAATTGATTCTTTATAAAAAGATTTTAAAACTCAGTAAACTATGTGTGTCAAGAATGACAGAAAAGTCACAAGAGAATATACAAATAAATTATGCTAAAAAAATCAAGATTCTCCTGTAGCCTGTTGTTATTAGAAAGATTATTTCATCAACTTTATAGAAATAAATTTGAAATGCTACTAAAATACTAAAAGCCACATTTTACTGAAATAGACAATGTACAAAATATAAGAAAACAAATTCCCTATCTCCTTGAAAGAAATATAAACACTTGCATGCAAAGGAAACTAAATTCAGATACTTTTCTACAGAAGCATGCCAATCATTTAAAGAGTCACATTTAGTGAAAGGTTTCAGATCAGAAAAACAAGAAAACTCCATTTCATTTTATGAAGTCTGCAACAATCAGTAGAGACAAAAGCACTATAAGAAAGAAAAATCATAAAATCAGAGGTCAATTATAAAGATGCAAAAATCCTTATAAAGCGTAAGGATTTAAAAGGACAGTGACCAAGGAATAAATGCATGCACACACACACACACACACACACACACACACACACACCTACATCTAATACAAGCACCTTGGAAACAAATGCAAGACTCTAAGTGCCAAGGCCAGCCTGGGCTATAAAGCAAGTTCCAGGCCAACCTCAGCTATAATGAGATATCCTATCTCAAGAAAAATTAAAAAATAAAAAAGGCCAGGCTATGGTGGTGCACACCTTTACTCCCAGCACTCAGGAGGCAGAGGCCGGTGAATCACTGTGCATCTGAAGCCAGCCTGATCTACAGAGCTAGTTCCAAGACAGCTATGGATGTTATGCAGAGAAACCCTGTCTTGAAAAACAAAACAAAACAAAAAGAAAGGCGAAAAGGCCATGATCAGGTGAGTTATACACAAGAGAGTTAACTATAAGCAGGATTCACGGGTGAGTTTACCAGTGTACTCAACCACGCTGACAGATTAAAGAAAAGCACAAGCTCACCTCACTAGATAGGAACACACCAGAAACCAAAGCAGACATACTTATTTTGATAAAAGCTATCTATAGAATACTAGAACAAACATCATACTTAATGCTCAAACAGTTAAACACTCCCTCTAAGTTCAGGAACCAAACAAGGACACCGTGCCTTAAAACAGACTTCTGTGACAGGACTGGCAGGGAACAAACAGAATTCCTGTTCACAAATGACAGAACTGTGAATACAGAAAGCAAAACGCCAGCAATTAAAGGCAATGCCCAAGAGGCTAAGATGCAAGATCAACGGCATTTCCATGCAGATGGCAGATGCAGTTAGAACAAAGCTGAGAAACAAAGACAGGCAGACGGAGGTGCTCAGGCAACAGCACAAGCTCAGGACCTCAACTCCATCACTAAGAACAGGGCTGTCCTCTGATCGTCACAAATGCTGTGGTGCCCACACGCACACCCGGAATGAAGTGCCTAGCACTATGCACTTCAGGAGAGAAAGCTAGAAACTTAACTCAGATACTAAAGGGATTCGAATAAACACCTTGATCTGGAAGACTCAATTTTGAAAGGTGTCAATTCTTCCCAAAGTGACTTAAAATCCAGGTAATAATGAAAATCCCAACAGGACAGCTGAAGGGCTAATTGCAGCCAGGGCACTCTTGAGGAGGGGAGAAGGAATAACAGCTGTATTATCAGCTATGACAAGATCATGAAATTTATCTAAACACACACACACACACACACACACACACACACACACACACACGAGAGAGAGAGAGAGAGAGAGAGAGAGAGAGAGAGACCAACACAGATCCATACATACACCAACACTTAAAAAATGATACAGGTGGTCAAACAAACCAGATTTTAAAAAATCATTTCCAAAGATGCTAAAACAAAGAACTAGTTGTTCTGACTTAAACAGAAGCATGCAAATTCCTCCCATTGTAGGCAGAAATCAATTCAAGTGTAATGAATACAAATATCCATACAAACTACTTCACATTCAAAACTAAACATATTAAATATCCCCAGCAGGATGTAGCTTAAGGTCAAGGATCTTACTGTCAGGATACTCTTATGTTCTTATACAATTCACTATAAAGTAATCAACTACAAACTCATAGATGAAGAAGAGATATTGACAAAAATCTAACTTACGAAAAAACAGTTCCTAAGGGTGAGCATGTTGGTGCATGCCTTCAGGCAGCACAGGTGGGTGGATCTCAGTGAGTTTAAGGCCAGCCTTGTGTTTGGGCCAGTCAGGGCTACACAGTGAGACCTTGTCACAACAAAATAAAATAACTAAAATAATTTATGGGAGTAGAAACACCATCTTTATCTCAAATTATTATTATTATTTTTTTCTCCCAGACAGGGTTTCTCTGAGGCTTTGGAACCAATCCTGGAACTAGCTCTTGTAGACCAGGCTGTTCTCAAACTCACAGAGATCCACCTGCCTCTGCCTCCCGAGTGCTGGGATTAAAGGCATGGGCCACCACCACCAAGCTCCTTTATCTCAAATTCTTAAAACCATTTTTTCTGGTCTGTCTACTGAAAATGCTCAATAACCATGAAAATCTTATAGTAAGGAATGTTCCAAGCATTCAAATTGGTCTGAGCACTAATCCCCAAATAAATGAAAAGGAAGTGAAAAAAAAAAAAAAAAAAAAAAAAAAAAAACCACAAAAAAAAAAAAAAAAAAAAAAAAAAAAAAAAAAAAAAAAACGCCTTGAAAACAACAGATTCCATTTCTAACTTGTCTGATAACTCAGATCCTGAAAGTACCATATCGTCCTGACACAATCAAGAGGAACTCCACAGTACCCAGAATAACATCAAACCCAGCTCTGAGCCTACCTAATAATCACTTTGTGCCACTGAGATGCAGGGACATGCTATAAAAGTGGGAGACAGAATTCAGAGTATGATAAAATATGCACAACATGTGGCTCAGTTTCCCCAACACATAAATGGAGTTATTAAAGGATAAACAGTTAGGATTTTGTCGGGACATAAGATAATCAAATAAAGGTTTGTTGAGTAAAGTGATAAAAATTGAAAAATGAATGGACATTCTAAGATGTTGAGAAACTGGTTTACTTTGTTGTGAAGAATGGTAGTCCTGATAGCTAAAGATTCATATCCAAGTGTTTAATACTGAAATGATGTGAAATACCCCAGATCCATTAGCAATTTACTTAGTAATTAAAAACTAAGTAGGTAGGTGGACAGGTGAATGGACACAACTTCCCAGGGAAGGGAGTGTTTTAGGTGAATTAATTCAAATATTCAAGTAAGATGAGTGAAAACAGTAAAGAGTATAGAATAGGCTCATGTTCTCAAGGGTATTCAGGGCTTATGACACAAAATTCAAAACTATGTCATCGACTTCACACTCTGGAGGGTTCAGGCACTTACGGCTGGCAGGAGGGACTGCATATTCTGATTAGAATCTGCTATCGTAGCAAGGTATACCAGGTTCGTATGCAACATCTGCTGATACCTATTAAAACAAAACAAGTACCAATGTTAGAAAAAAAAATCTTCCTACCTATTAAATACAAGCAGCATTATAATTACTTTTATAGCTTAATGAAAGATGCTACCTGAATATCAGTAGCACTTCAACCTTTCCTATTTCCTCTGCAAAATAATTCCAAATGACACATAATACATTAAGGTAATGGCGAGCACAGAGTAATCTCACCATGAGCTAGAGATGATCTAGTTTTGGTTTATGGACACATACCTCACTTAACACGTAAACCAGTACTGTGAGGTAGCAGCTCTTACTCCATCCTTACCT